CGCGTCTCGATACTCGGCCGTGATGATTTTCAATTAAACGTCGCGCTCCTCTCGATCAATCTCCCTTGAATGGAAGATTCGCACACTTTCTTCTCTCAATTGCGAATCCTTCGAGCGATATTGAACAAAGAAGAAATTGGATTCCAATGATATTTCAAAGTGGAAAGTATCGATTCATATACATATGTATATATTCGTAGAACAGATTTTTACCATTGAAATATTACTTGAATCTTCAAGTTTTTGACGTTGTGTATTTAATTTTCTTTTTTTTTTCTTACTGGTAATTTACAAGATAGGATATTAAAAATTTGTACAAATTATAATTAGGCGAAGGAAGCAAGTCTAATCTAACCGAGGCACGCTACATTCACCGATAACGCTAATAACGGGTATTGTTCCCTTTTTTTCCCTTTCAAGACCATGGTGTTCGATAAGAAAGAGAGAAATTCATTTCTTCGCGTTTCTATTTCAAGTCGGCCGGTCCCGCGACCGAAAGCAACGGGCACAATAGCCCCGCGGAGGACAAAGGGAGTATCAATCGTGGCGTCCAACCAACGAAACCGTAAAATGCGCCGCCACACCCCACCGTCGTGATGAATTTCTAATCCTTGGAAATTTCCTCCCCCAAGAGGGAAAGAAGCCGCGAATAAAAATGGAGGAATGAACGGTGTATATATGTGTATGTATATGTATTCGTGAAAAACGGTGACACGTCCTTATTGAAAAGAATCCAAGAAGTTCCATCGAAAAGGGGGATGGATTTTGGTAACCAATAACTTGGATTCCTACCTCTTTCGCGGATATAATCTCGATCCTCTCTTTTCTGATCTTTTGCTCCACTGTATTTCTCTCTATTTTCAAAAGAAACGTCTCTGAGACGACGAGAATCGCGAGAATGGAATAATACAAATGAACAAGAGATGGAGGGGATTCTTTTTATCATTTAATTCTTACTACGTTTTGGGGGGTTGTTCGTATCGATCAAATTTTAAACTTGTGTGTGCCAATTTTAAAAATTGGGCCACGTGTGTTTCCATCAGTTCTTTTCCAATACGTATACTGTGATAAAGATAAATACTCTCAACTTTTTTTCTAGTGTAAGATATATCTTTATTGCAAGTAGATTTTAAATGACAATGACTAATAGAATAGAAACTAATAGAATAAGAATAAGAAAATTCATCGAATCTCTTACGTTCTTCACCCAATATTTTCTTCGCCCAATTGAAAATGAAAAATTATTATCTTAGATCAACGCACTTTAGAAAAATTCCAAAAAAAGAATCTTTCGAGCATTCGAACAGCTTTTAAAAGATAAGAAATTAGTAATTTCACGCGAATGCAACACACGAGAAGGAAGAGAAATATTCGCCTGTATCCCCCTCTCCTAGGCTCGAAAGGGTCAAACTCGATTAACCGCGGAGGAAACACGGGAGGGGTATAATATATTCTCTGTCGCTCGCGATATTATATTTCGCGGACGGAAAGATAGGTTGCTCCGTTCCGTGCTGGTGTGTGCTTCGTCGTTTAATCACGGCCGTGCAATTCAATTAAGAGCATTCTGAAAAATGTAATTTTTCCCCTCCCTGGGGCCATATTCGCGAGAGAGAGAAAGAGAGAGAAAGAGAGAGAGAGGCGGAATGCAATTATTTAGAGGATGCCGGAGAGATGTAATCGTTTCTCTCGGCTTCGCGCTGACGCCGCGCTTAAAGAGAGCGCGATCTCTTATCCCGGATCCGGATGGAAAGAAGGAGGAAAGAGATGTAATTGGGTCGGACAAAACGGCGTATACAACGCCTCTTCCGCCTTCAACTTCTGCCATTTTCCTAGGCCCCGTTGAATTTAATTGAACCTCCTCGAATTCTTCGACTCTCGAAGCTTCGAGGAAAAGAATTTTTCCGAAACCGGTTTTGTCTACAGATTTTCTCGATTCGTTTAAACGCTCGCGAAGAAAGGAACGAAATTGTAGAAGGAAAAGAAATTGCGAAGGGGGATTGATCGAGTTGGAAGAACGGGATAAAGACACGTAAGTTTTAAGTTCGTTATGATGATTCGAGAAATTTTTCATTCTTGTCGAGTTATTCCAATTTCCATCATATCGTTCACTCATAATTGAAATTGTTGGAGAACGTTGCTGTCGACCATCGACACCCAAAAGCGAATTCTTCGAGCACGAGTGGCGCCATTTCCGGTTAAAATTTCCCAGATTCCACTCGATCCATCACATCGTCCCACTTAAACGCGTGTCTCTGAATCTTCGATCGCGCGAATATTTATCCCCATGGATCCGATTGCCTCGATCCATCGCCACAATTTTTCGATGATTCCGTACGTAAGAGGCGAACGAGCCGCCGTTGAATCCATCCTCCAAGAAAGCATTCTCTTCCAGCTGACCAACGTGACGCGTCTCTTCCCTCGAACCTTTATTATTCATGATTTCATGAATTTTCATTCTCCTCGTGGCTCCAGAGAGAGAGAGATTGCTCGTTACTTAAGCCGGGTATGGAAGGATGCGTGAGGAGGCTTGCTCGTGGAGGACGAGTGAGTGTAAATGCACGGTCGAGAGAGAGAAAGAGGAAGAAAAATATATATATATATATTCCGTGAACCGTAAAATTCGCCGTGGAGAGGAAGGGGTGGCCCAGTAACGTTTGACGTCACCACGACAGACTTCGCCTCGCCCTTCCTCCCCTCTCTTGGCAAGAATGGAGGCGGCGTGACCAGGTGACCGATAATACCGAATACCTCTCGGTTTCAAGGATGCGGAAGAATCGACCTCGTCTCGTCCACGATCATCCGAGGAATCGTCTTAAGGGAGGGAGGGATTCTTTGTCTCTCGATGAAAAAATCAAACGAGATTCTCGCGAATCTCGAAAACTCGGAAGAGGAAGAGGAAAGAAGAAAAAGAAAATCGTAATCGATCCGCAAGAAAATTTTCAACTCTTTCTGCAATTTCCGTTTCGCATCGAAACGCCTCTTTTATTTCGCGCGTTTGAGCGATAACACGCTCGACGGGTGCTCTCCACTCTACTCTTTTCGTCGCCTTTCACTCGACTCGGGATAAAAAAGGAGAGGGGGGGGGAAAAAAAAGAAAGAAAGCGGGCAGACCGGTTAGGTGTCGGAGACTTTTTGAGACTTTCGAGGGCGTTATGAAAGCCCGGAAAAACGGCAACACGACAGCGTTGTGAAGAAAAAAGGAGAGGGAAGATTAAACGGTTACCGGTTGAAAGATTGAAGTTTACGCGCGCTAATCGTTTCGAGGGTGGGAAGATTTTCAAGTCTGGGAAGATTAAGCGTCGGAATCTGATTTCGGGAGGGGGGAGGGTGCATTAATCGAACGGCGGAAGAGATCACGTCGCGAATTACGATAGTGAGATAGACCCAATTCTCCTTCCCGTTTAACTATCACGTACATCCCCTCGAGGGCCTCGTTATTTCCGCGGCAAATGCGGCAACAACAGATGGAAATGTACTCGAGTAGAACGGAGAAGGATGAAATGCGACACTAAGTACCACCAGGGATGAGGTAGGATACGATGCTTTATAAGGAGATCTAAATCGGTTTCGTTGCGGTTTCTCGCCCGTCCTGTTTCCGATGATTAAGTCCAAAATGAGTCTGGCTCCGTTTACTTTGATCTTAATTCTAATTGTGTCGAGATATTCCAGATATCTCAGTTGTATCTATTATGGGCCCTTTAATGGACCTAGGGGATCTTCGAGGGTTTCGTTATCCGCCAATTGTTTCGATTCAACGCTAAATCTTTTAAAACGGAAACGATTTAATTCCACTTATACATATTCTTTGTAACTGCCTTTATTCATTGTCCGAGCTGGACAGATTTACTTCACTTTTCTCCTTACGTTACGATATCATTTGTCTTATTCAATTCCAGTCGATAGTTTCGCTTCGCTTGTCCAGCCACGCTTTCGCTCTCCCGCCACGAGAGAAGCGTCTCGTTCTGATCAATGTCGTCCCACTTATCCCGCGAATAATGAAACTTATAAACCAAATGAACACGACTCGTCCCTAATTGAAATGCAAATGGGAATGTGCCTTACAGTGGCCGGTGACGAACAAGTTATTTCACCCCTGTCCGCGGGCGAAGGGGGCACCATCCCATTTTACGGCAGCAGAGTGTTTCAAGGAGACGAGGCCACGCCGTAAATTAAATTGAATTAGACTTTAACGCGCGCGTAATACTCACACGCGGGTCGTTTCACGTTTCCACGTGCCCGTGTGCACGCCAACGCCCACGACTTTTATGAGGAACGGCTCCCATTGTTGAGGCAACGTAACCCAGTTCGTAACGCCGACCGCGTAAAAGTTGCTATTACGGGAACAACGATCGAAAAACTTTCGGATGGAGCGCGGAAAATTACGAATGTTCGCATCGTGTTTCGAGCCCGTTTTCGAGGGGAACTTGGACTTGTCGCGAGGAAACTTGCAGAAAAGGGAAGGGGAAAAATCAAACGTTTATTCCCTTCTCCCCCAAAAAGAAACAATATGATTAAATCGAGAAAAGGACGAAATTTTCCTCGAGTTATCTCGAATCGTTGAACGATTCGATCGAAAAGGCGCGATTTCTGAATGGCAAGAGATCGAGTTGATCGAGATTTACCGCTCGTTTGAACCGTTGGCCGTTCTGTTCCAGCTTTCAGAGGACATAGGCTACGTCCTTTACTCGGCGCTCGGCAGCTTCTACATCCCCTCGTGCATCATGGTGTTCGTGTACATACGCATTTACTTCGCAGCGAAGGCGCGGGCGCGCCGCGGGATCCGGAAGCCGCGTCCACGCGCGGTCGTTCCGCCCGAGTCGCCG